CCAAGCTAATACCATCCCCACTGTGAAGCATAGTGGTGTCAGCATTATGCTGTGGGGATGTCTTTCAGCAGCAGAAACTGGAAGACTAGTCAGGATAGAGGGAAAGATGAATGCAGTAATGTACAGAGACATCCTGAATGAAAACCTGCTTCAGAGTGTTCTTGACCTTAGACTGAGGCGACGATTCATCTTTCAGCAGGACAATGACCCAAAGCACACCGCCAAAATATCAATTGAGTGGTTTCACAACAACTCAATGAATGTGCTTAAGTGGCCCAGCCAGAATCCAGACCTAAATTCTATTGAACATCTCTAAAGAGAGATGTGAAAATGGCTGTACACCTGCACTTCCCATCCAACCTGATAGAGCTTGAGAGGGACTGCAAAGAGGAATTGGCAACAATTCCCAAGGACAGGTGTCCCAAGCTTGTGGCATCAAATTCAAAAAGATGTGAAGCTGTAATTGCTGTCAAAGGTGTATCAACAAAGTATTGAGCAAAGATCGTGAATACTTGTGTACATGTGATTTGTCAGGGTTTTTTTATTTTTTATAAATTTGCAACAATTTCAAAAACTCTTTTTTCACATTGTCATTATGGGGTATGGTGTGTAAAAAGTGAAGCGCTTTGAATTGTTGTTTAGATTACCAATAAAATTGATTAGAAAATCTGAGATGAATCTACACTTTACAGCCGCACACCATAATTGTTTTTGACTTTCACCCTAGTGATAGATTGCATACCATCTTACCGCATAAATCATATTGGCCTGCAGGTGTGTCCTTGATATTGTATCATAGGAGACATTTCATTGTTGCCTTGCAATGTTTCATATGATTATATCAGTGCAGAGTATGTGGTATAAAACTGTCACATCAATATAAAATGATCTCTTTCTTTAATTCTTTATAATATATGCCTTCGCATGTGCAACTGTGTGCAGAGTTTTAAAGGTAACATGAATAAATTGTGCCATTTCCTTGGCTTATCTGGCAGCCGCATGTGATCAGAACATCAACATGTCATGGCTTATACTGAAATAGAATGTTTTTATGACATTTTGTCATGAGTGCAAGTGAGCAAGAACAATTGCATCAGGAAACACGACAACGCACATCTGACTGCAGCTTTAGATAGGCTTACGATGACAGTCAAAGCGACATTCATAACAGCAGTTTTAACGCAAAAGTGTGAATCTGTAGCTGGGAAATTGTGTTGAGTCCCTGAAAAGTAAGAAATCAAGAAGCATTTTCTAGACAAGTAAAATAAATGTGTTGTTTTCAGGAATCGTAATTCAAAATGAAAAAAATGCATTGTTTCAGAAGCAATAGGTCAACATTAGTGTGTTTTTTTGGTTGTTGTTTTTTTTTTGTTTATTTCTGATTATTTTGCTTGCTTTAAGGAAAAGAAAATGACATGTTTGACCTATTATTTTTAAAAACAATGTATTATTTACTTGTATAGAAAATGCTTTTTTTCAGATATTTTTCAATAATTCAATAATTTTCAGATATTTACTAATCCAACTGGTTATCTTTACAAATGAAAAAAATAAAAATAAAATAATAAGGATTCAAATGTTATAAAAATTCTTATTTTCTACATAAATATAAAATCTACTATCTCCATGCCTACTTCATCTATATATTTTTTCTTTTTTTTCATTACAATCTGCATTTGTATAATGTTATAATTTTTGTAGCAGTAATATCTACTAAATAATTCATTCATTCATTAATTTTCTTGTCAGCTTAGTCCCTTTATTAATCTGGAGTTGCCACCGTGGAATGAACTGCCAACTTATCCAGCACATTTGTACGCAGCAGATACCCTTCCAGCCGCAACCCACCTCTGGGAAACTACTAAATATTTGTTTAAATAAAAACAAGTTTAGATTTGTTCACCTGTCAGGTTTTGGAGATGTACGCATCAGTATGTGGGGCATAAGAATAGGACGTGCATTAGGATATTACTTACCACCCAGGAGATCAACATTAAAGTTTTAATTTTTTTTTAAATTTTTTTTTTTCAGATTATTTAGCTTGCTTTAAGGAAAAGAAAATTACATTATTGACCCATTGTTTCCAAAAACAATGTATTTTCTTTGTACAGAAAATGCTTCTTGATTGAATAATTTTCAGATATTTGAACTAGAAACATAATTAAACTTCTATGTAAGTACCTAAGTAACTTTTCTTTTATTTATTTATTTTTTGTTTGCAGTGGAAATGGAAAGGCGTTACATACTCATTGTCAACCATTAATTGGATCTGTATCTGTCTCGAACATAGGTCTCAAACTCAGTTCCTATAGAAGGACGCAGGTCTGCGCAGTTTTGCTCCAACCCTAATCAAACACAGCTGATCCAACTGGTTAAGCCGTTTAAGACTACTAGAAACTCTTAAGTAGGTGTAAGTTGGAAGTGGTTGAAGCTAAACTAAGCAGAGCTGCACCCCTTCGGGGATTGAGTTTGAGCCTTTGGTCTGGAATATACTGAATTATGTCATCTTGTTCTTACAAAAACTAATAATAGTAATAATAATAAAAAGAATATAGTGTGAGCCAGAAGATTGCATATTCCAAGACATGACTGTCAGTTCAAGTATAAATGTATAGTTTTTTTTATTTATTTTTTTATACAATACATATTGTTTCAGAGAAGTTTGACATTAATACAGTGGTCATTGGCAAAGTTAAAGGTGTAAAAAAATTATGCAGCTTTTCTGAATATGCTAGCATCATTAATTGGCTCAATTTAGCTTAATGCTGTTTTCATTCATCTCAGTACAGTACATCTGTGCTAATGTTAAAGAAGTATTCATAAAATTATGTTTTAATTTCTACACTATGGGCCCTATCATACACCCGGCGCAATAAGCCGCAAGGCGCTTAAAACCTGATTTGTTGCTATTTGCAGACCTTTCAAACCCAAATTATAGATTTGTTCGCCTGTCGGGTTTTGGAGACGCATGCATTACTTTATGGGGCATAAGAATAGGACGTGCGTTTGGATATAACTTACCACCCAGGAGATTGATACCACCCATTGAGAGTTTGACCCCGCATCGTTATGATTGTTCATTTTTTTTTTTTTTTTTGATTGCTGGAAAGTAGGCCCAATTCCTATTCTATTTTTGTATTCCATACCCCATTCCCTTCTCCTTGGTCCTTAAAACCGTGTGTGAAGAGGAAGGGCTTCAAAATGTACCCCTAAGAATAGGGACAGTACTACATCACCTGCATATGTCATCATATGTCATTGCGATCTCATGCTTCATGTTCGTGACTGTTGTAATTATTCCAGTTGTGTTATTTTTTGGTATTTATTTTTAAGAAATCACTGAAGGCATAAATATATTTTGTTATCATAACAATCTAATGTGGCAATAAGATTGTAACTATACTCTGCATTTACACAGTGGCCATTTTCATCTATGTAAACACACCAAAACAACATTAACATTATAGCAGACACTGTAAAAAGGTCATTCTCAGCCAATAGACATTACTGACAGGATATTCGAGTGTCATTGAGTGTCAGAATGTTGTGGGACTGCTGTACACGAGTTATTATTATTGATTAAAGATCACAAAATTTAGCGTTTTTTATTTCAGCGTTTTTTTAAGCATGACAGTAAAACACGAACGTGGTTATGAATATATTAAAAATATATTTGTTTGTTGTAAAAACTCATAATAATGGCAAAAAATACTAATCTGTGGATCACCTTACTTAAGGGTGCAACTGTGGCTGGTGTATTTTGGGAACCTTTCTTACCCCTTGGTTTCAAGTGTGGTCCTGAAAAATCATTGTTCGAAGAGGTTTTGAAACATCTTTGTGCTTAACAGACTAAATTAAATATCTAAGGGATGTCTTCAGTATAGTGCGTACAACACAGTCTTCTTATCCATGAACATAAAGAAGTAAAGAGTAAAAGTAAAGTAAAGAAAAAGAAAAAAAACCTGAATGGAGGAGGCTCACTCTTTATCCTCGTGCTGCAGATGATCTGTTAAACTTTTTTCTTGATACTGAAGCAATCAGTTTTTCCACTTACAAAGTACGCCATGTAAATAGCAAATGGCACCACAGTGCGACCCAACTGACTCTTAAAGGGAATGGGAGATGAGACTCTGATTGGTTTAATACACATTATGCTCAAAACACACCCAGAACTCATTTAGAAAATAAGCACAACCCTGTGCGCTGGGGCACAGATCATATTTTTCTGTCTTTAAAATGGCAGAAATGGATTCAGATATGACCTTAATGCTTTTACACCAAGCGCTTTAGATTTTGCACTTAGATTTTTAAATCTGTCAAGCTCAGCTAATTAACACATCATTTCCTCTCCTCCCATGTGATGTTAATAATATATCAAATAAATCGGTTGTGGATACATTTGGAGAAAACTCATGAAATGATTAAGTTTTTCCATTTACAAAGTCCACCATGTACATAGCAAAAGTGCCATGGTTCAACACAGCTGACTCTTAAAGGTAATGAGAGACATTCTGTAAAATGTGGTTATAATGGGAGTCAATGGGGAAAAAAAAGATGCCAACATACCGGAACAGTAGTCAATTTGAAGAATACACAAGGGTTAAAACAATAAATCAATATGTAAGGGTCGTAGTGCTTTAATTATGCTCTGTTAAAGGTCATGTGACCAACACAAATATCAAAGTATTCAATTCCTTTCTTATGAGGTCCTGCGAGTTCATTCTTCCGAGATGAGATCTATAATGTCCACGAGAATTTAAGATTGTTCTCTACGTTTCTGGTATTGAGAAGTGTTCCAGCATACCTGTTTCCATGGTAATGGTGCAAACGCTATAATAGCATAGATGCTGTAGACTTAGACCAGAGCAGCTCCACTAACACGTGTGCAACATTTTGTTCTTAAAATGTAAAAATATATTTCTCAAAATGTGACATATAGTTGCAGCTTCCACAGCTTTCAAGGAACATGTTCAGGTAAATGTACTTTCTCTGTCTTGCAGGTGAACGAGTGACCCAATGAGGTGGAATACTACTTTAGCGGAGTGCTGGAAGAGAAGTCACCTTGCCCCAGTTCTCCGAGAGCGCAGGGAGAGAGACAGACATCTTTGATTGTTTGTTGCCAGTAGGGAGACGGGAAGGTCAGTAAACAAACTAGACCGCATTTCTCCTGCTGCAATGTGTCATTCTGTCTGATGTTCAACTCATGTCAGCGCAGAAAGAGATGTTTGCATCGCTGCTTGATACATCAGCAAGTGACTGGTGTCAGTGTAAACACTGCTGCTCCAAAGACCAGGCTTGAAATGTCAATAAATGCACATTATGATTTGGATTTGAGCTCCTTTGAGCAAACCTGAAGCAATATTTATTATTCAGAACACAACTGAAAAGAAATGATGATTTGACTAATAACTAATATTTTTATTTCCATCCTGAAAGCAAAACTGAAATGTGCAGTCGTGTGATAAATAAACCACAAAAAGCAATTAAATAAGTGCACCCTCTACAGTGCTTAGCATAAATGAGTACAGCTCTTTTTGAAAATGATTATTTTTTTTTCAGTTTCTTAGTGATTATAGACAATAATTTAGGTACATTTAAGTTTTATTAAACAGTTATATCCATTAAAAAGTACAACATTGTAAATACCCCAACAGGCACAAGATGTCAACATCATTTCTGATTAGGGCTGGGCCAATAAACAATATTATATTGAATCGTGATAAAATTTGTCAATAACAATAATACGCTCTAAACTTTTCTACTCCATATTAACCTAAGAGCCAATCACACAGCAGAAATGTGAATCAATAGGAATCTAAAAGTGTGTTGAAATTAGAGATGTACTGAATTTTCGGCCACCAAAAATTTATCAGACAAAAATATTATATGCCATTTAATGGACCCGTTAAATTCGTTATTATTCAATATATGGTTAAACCGAGGTACTGTTTCTCTGTGTTCATTAAAAATTAGATGGCACTTGTCGTAAAAAGTAGGGGTGTAACCCCATAGTCCTGGCCAAATTTCCTCTCTGCCCTTAACCATCATGACCTCCCAATCATCCCTATCCACTGAATTGGCTCTATCACTGTCTCTCCACTGCACCTATAGCTGGTGTGTGATGAGCGACCTGGCGCCGTTGTTCTGTGGCTGCCGTCACATCAGCCAAGTGGAAGCTGCACACTGGTTGTGGTGTGAAGAGATTTTGGTTACTTTCTAACGCAACCTAAAACCAACAAAATATCAACATCTAATGTTGTTACAGCTGGACGTTGTGTGGACATTACCAATATGATGTCCATGAAGCCAGCGTCTGTTGCTAAAGCATCTTTAGAGGTCAGAAGAGTGAGGTGTACCTGCACAGCACTTCACTAGCTGGCCTCTGTTACAACGGCGACCTAAATCTTACCTAATATTAAATCTTATTGTGTGTCTGTTGGGACGTTTTAATAAATTTCTTTGTTTCTCTTGATTTTCCTGTTCATTAACATTTTATTTAAAACATTTCCACAACATATTCATTTTTGGACTGTGATCTTGAGTTTTTTTTTTTTTTCTTTTTATTAGTTCCTGTTTTGAGTTTGGCCTCTAATCTAATGTATATGCACAAATATATAGTAGGGAAACCCATAATGTTAACACAAAAATGACCAATCTGGGTCAAAGATTCAATAAAAAGTTTCCTGAAGATAGTTTGCAGTTTTATCAGCAAAAACCAGCTTCAACACTCTTGCAGAGTTAGTAGCTTACTCAGCTTACAATCTCCAAACAACAACAATTATACTTTTACATAACGTCATTAACTGTGTCATACATGTACTGTAAGTGTTCTAACCTGATTGGTTTAAATACAGATAGACTTCGAAAATGTTCACGTGCATGTGTGTGTATGAAATTAGAACAATATCTTCCATTGATTACAGCCACCAGGGTATTCAACGCTGACCCCAGACCTGTAATTCTGATCCACAAGTAAATAGAACACAAACACAAAGTATAAACTGTTTCTTACTCAAGGTTGCGTCGTGTTCCTTCAGCCATCCTTTTAAAATTGGTACAATCAACATCCAACCTAGCAGCTTGCATACAAAGAAATGTACTTGAAAAAAAAATATCACATAAAATGGCAAATAACTCAGGAAACAGTTGCTTCTAATCCTTCAAGAATCCAGGTCTACTCAAAAGGTCTCTATGATCTCTGATCTAGCTTGGTAGATCAAGAGGAAACAAATCATTTTGCATACATAAAAAGCAAATACACGCATATTATTCCAGATTTACTCTGAAGAGTAATGTGACTGAGGTTACCATATAATCTAGGCCCTTAAACATTTAACTTTATTAATAATCACAAAGACATAAGAAATTATACGTGCTAGCGGCAGCTAGCTCTCTGCAACTCTCACAAGGGGTGCTCAACCTACGATCTGTGTGGGTCCTAATGCCCCAGTGTATTGATGGGGACTCTATATTGATCAGTGAACACCGTCGTTCAGATGAGACGTTAAACCGAGGTCCTGACTATTGAATAATAATATTAAAAAAAGAGTTGGCATTTAACCCCAGCATCCTTGGCAAACTTGCCCACTGGCCTCCTTCCATCATGGCCCCATAACCATACCCGTATTTTAACTGGCTTCCTCACTCTTCTCTCCACCAGTCAGCTGGTGCATGGTGTGCAGTCTGGCACAGTATGGCTGCCGTCGCGTCATCAGGGTGGATGATGCACACTGGTAGTGGATGAGGAGCTTACCATGAATGAATAAAGTGCTTTGAGTGTCTAGAAAAGAGCGATATAAAATGTAAAGAATTATTATTATTATTATTATTATTATTATTATTATTACTTCATCCTGTAGTGGACATACATCAGGGGACATATATACACTTGGGAAAATAGTAAATATAAATATATTTATTTACTATTTTATGTAATTTGGCTCACATGGTTAATTGAATATTAATCAGATGAAGTCATTGCGCTGCTGTGCCGTCAGCCAGTCGTTTCATTGCTGATCATGATTTTGAGTATCGATAGATCAGTCCTTCACAACACACACAGCGATCTTTGATTTCAATATTATTGCAAAGCATCCTATCAAAAATATCCATTTGAAAGAGAAAGCTGTAAGTGGTGTAATCATTTGTGCTGAGCATTGTATAATGTCTGTTGTTTACAAATGAAGAAGCAACCTTAAAACAGTGTTTTAGCAATCACAAAGCAATATGTTATAGATGCTTGTTACACACAAACACCACCTGAATTAAATAATAATAACTATTGGAATTGAAATAAAAAAGGTGAAGAAGAAGTGTTCAAATTAAAACTCAGACTCCGAATCCATATTAGAATACATTTTTATTATTATTATTTTTTTTTAGTTCTGGTACAATATGAATGCAACTGCTATTTTTCATTTCTCTTTACTGTTCACCTAAAAAAAAAGTTTAAGCTTTGTTCTTTTACCCTTAACAAGTATTTATTACTTCTGGGTAAAGCATGTTGCAATTTGGAGGCAATATGCCTAGCTTGCATGTTTGTAGTTTTTGCACACCCTTTGATCATTAGAGTTGCTGTTTCAGTGCAATTGTATGTTCATTTACCCTTAAACACAAGAGTGTAAGACATTTCAAGTTCAAACTGAAAACTGAAATAATTACCATCTGGTTGAATTCAATTAACCTTTGTGTGCTCTTAGAATTCTGTTCATTAGTGTTGGAGTGTGCATGTCTGTCAGTGTGTGCTTTGTGATTTGTGTAGTGAAAAAGTGTTTTCATACTGTCTATATTGTATGAGTTTTTCTATGTCATAGAAAAAACTATGGTGATATTTACAAAGGGATGTAGTATAAGCATGATATACTGATTGCATTAGCTATAACAGAGATTTACAATAGATGAATATATGTACAGTTTGCTATTAATGATCAGAAGTGTGCAGATAGATATGAACATAACATGAGGGGTAAAACAACCTTTTACCTCATTCTGAGTATGTATTCATGCATTCAATGCTACCATGTGATTGGGCGAATAAATATTTGTATTAAAAGGGCTGGTCCAGAGTGTATGTTTAGGCTTGGTTGTGTTTATAAGAAGAAAAGCAATGTGTGTTTATGCTTCATATGTAAAAAAAATCTTTATATATATATATATATATATATATATATATATATATATATATATATATATATATATATATATATATATATATATATATATATATATATATATATATATATATATATGATTTTAACCATATACTTTCATATATCTTTTGCGAGTTGGCTATTTGAGATGAATGCACGGAAAGTGGCTGCATAGAGAGACATTGCTGCACTGGTGAAGATTTTAAGTGTTTACAGTGGTTTGATGGATAAATATCAATCTGTATTTAAATTGTTGATGGTGTCAAACAGCATTCAGCATTTCCTGTTGATTACAGTACATCCTTGTTCACGTCCTTGCTACAACACACCATTAACGCATGAAACATGTAACAGATGCATTTAAATAAATGAGTATACTTACAGGTTGTGGCTCACAATCCACAGCTTCTTCAATTATGGTTGGAGCGGCTTCTTCGTAGAGGAGTTTTTAGCTGAATCCAGCAGATTCTGGAAGCTGTCCTTTGTCAAGTGCCTGCTATGACTTTTTTTAAAAATAAATCTCTGGAACAAAATCAAATTAAACTGTAAGGACTTCTCTCTTTGTGTTTTGTCCTTTAGAAGCCAAAATATAGACACAGAACAAGCCCTGTGGAAATAGCAGCATTTGGACGGCATTTTAACTTTCTCTGCTATAACATTACAGCACCTCTGGTCACACCCCTTCGCTGCACAGGGTATATGTGCATAACCTAAAGCATTTGTGATCTCACTAACCTGAATGTATTGTTTTGTTGTCCCCAAACTTCATTAGCTATAGTGTTTGCTAAGCCAACTCTGTAAAAGCCAATGTCTCCCTTTGAATTAAACTTTGAGCATATCACATTAAGAGATATTGTTTATGTTCACACATCTACATTACACAGTGGACGCAGTGGACCAACAATTAAACAAACAGTTGTGCCTAATAAAGTGGCCAGTTTGTGTATATTATAATAATTTCTTTAATACTTCATTATTATCATTTACAA